GAACATCGCGCAGTTCATCCTTGAACGCGAACATGTTCCCGACGAATGCGCAGGGGTGATGGTCTACATCGACCGCAAGGACCCCAACCCCGCCCCCGATGGCACGATCATCGACATCACCGAGGGCCCGAGCACCAAGGCAGTCATGGCCATTCGTATCGTGTTGCCCGCTAACTCCGACTCCCCGCTCTGGACGCTTACAGCCCACTACTGTATGTCTCGATGTTGCATCTTTTCCCTTGAACTGGACATGATACCGGCGATTTCAGATGTAACCGAAGACAAGGTCAATGGCTGGCACCAGTCCGGAAAATACCTGCACGAGCACACCAAGGAGCCCATTCTATACCTCCCTTTCGCCCCCGGGGACAAATTCACCACGGACGGCGTCGCACACCGCTTGGGTAATCCTCATCGTTTTTGTACATCACGGAGAAGTCGTTGATTCTTACCACGACGAGCAGAGACCCCCGGTTGGAAGGACGTGTGGAAGGTCACGAACGTCACCAATGGCAAAGTCGGATGTGAGTGTCTTTTTGTAACCGGAGCGGTTTCTTATTAATCACCGACATCTAGATGTCGAGGCGTATGAGTACGACAGCCACTTCACCAGGACGACGAGCGTTGGAGGTGTCCAGAGAGCCATGCCTTGGTAAAAAGCTCCTTCGCGTGCATGGGAAGGCATCCAGACATGTGCTGGAACTCTCGTTGCGGTACATTGTCTACGACAACATGAAACTCAATGATAGTGCATCATGATCTTTGAAGGTCCCCAGTACCTCCTCCTCCCACAGAACAGATTCGAACATGGTCAATGTCTTCTCGCGCTCGAGCGCGTCGAGAAGCATCTACAGGTTTTTGTCTTTGGTTCGGGTGACTTGCACGAAGCCACCTGTATGATCTACATATATCCCTACAGAATATGACTAGATTTTGTGCCCCGGGACACTGATTCATGAGTATGGTTGAAATACCACCGGTGCTGGAGATTTGTGGTAGACGATGGTGTCCACGACGTTCCCGAGTCATGTTATTATTATTGATATCGTTGGGAGTGGTACACCACTTCATTCCCATGTTATGGGCATAAAATATCCGGTTTCAACAACACCAGCACTGATTGAGGAATTCTTGAACCTGCGACAGGAATTGATGGGACTTGCCGGGGCGCCGGAGCTGATGGATGGATGATTCTCCAATTCCAAACATTGGGTCAATTAACGAGTTGTATTCATTCTCAAGCTGTAAAGCAATCAAGCAGTTGTGGGAACCTTGGAAAACCTGTATACCAAAACATTGTAAATTACTGGTGAGTTGTAGCAGGGACTGAGCGAGAACATCGGGTATTTGTCAGAGACTTGTCAGAGAGGCTACCGAGCTCAAACAAGAGAAACCATCCAGTGTTGAATTGAACACTGAAGCCAAAAAATTCTGAAACAACCTCTTAACCATGGAGGATTTTATCCGGTTCTCAAGTACGATTCGAAATTCCTGCATACATTCAGCTCGCTGCGCCAAACCGGCCCCAAAACGTTTCAGACCAATATTCCGGCGCGAACAGACGTAGCGAACACAACCATACTGCGCATTCGCGAAAACCGAATCTAGATGTCCTTGTCAAATGTAGGCACACTGGCGAACAATTCTACTATGTGCTTGGTCCAAGAGAAACAAGGAACACTCACTTTTGACCCGAAAATTCCGGGCACCGCGCACGCGACGGTAAACACATACGTAGCATTGTCGCAGAGAATTTCGCTAGAGAGCGGTTCGCACCGATCCCGGCAAAGAAATTCGAACCCGGAGTGTTCGCATCGTAAGAGAAGGGGGTTCTGGCGCCGCGAGGTCGCGGGGCAAGCGGCCATGCGCAGGCGCCAGGCATTTGCGCCGAACGGCGCGGTGTACGCCGTCGGAAGCCCCAGCACATGGGCGGCTGCGAGCACTCCGCGGCCCTATAGCCTCCACGCCGCAGCGCCAACTGCATCCAAAAACCAAGAAAGGAAATTTCACGAGAAATGAGGCAGGGAGGGACAGGACGCATCGCCTGGGCGGCGCGGTCTTGAGCGCCTCGATGCGTGCGGGGTCGGGATTCGGCCGCACGCGCTCGCGGCGGCCTGCGCGTTCGTCAGGAGCGCTCTTCCTCCTTCCTCATTTCAGCTCATAAGACGAGACACGCACAGTTCATGCTGCGCGACGACACGGATGGAAGGGAAGGGAGGCGCGCACCAGATATGCCATATGGTACCGCGGGGCGCTGCGGGTCGGCCTTGGGCGCGCGCAGGCGGAGGAGGGCGGTAACGGTAACGTGGGGCCTGTCACGGTGATTCGTGATGCGTGATGGGATTAGTGCTGTCCACATATGATATTAATATGAAATCCTCCATATCATATTATATTGATATCGTATTATGCTCTCAGGGCCTGTATCATATCTGTATGTATTATCTCCATATCATATTACGCCATATTATACCGTATCATGATATATCAATAATATGGTTTAATATATTTGTGCCATACTCAATCGGTGAATTTTCCCCCGAATCTCGAGCTCCCCTCAAATACAGATCTGGCATACGCTCGGGAGTGCAGCGATAATGATTAATATTAATGAAGGAAGACCATGGTGTAGAATATTAGTGGCATTCCCAAACATTAATCAGTTCAACATAATTGATCCCGTCCCCGAGCCTCGACTTCAGCCGCTCCTTCGCCGTGATACACATGGAGGAATCTCGAGGGTCATCGAGGTCCTATCATCGGTCAAGGTGTGCTTCATGCTCGAAAACAACCGCTCGACACCCCCGGAATGGCGAGAATATCCCGGACGACGACTGCGACCGACGGTAAAGTGCCTTGATTTTGCTGGAATCGGGTATCAGCTTATGGTGAACTCAATCAAATAGCACGGGGAAATTACGAACCTTCCACCACCCCAGTGGGTCGTCAAAATCGCCCGCAACAGGAGAAATCTAATACCAAATAATATGATAATATGCGGGGTACCATATCATATTATATGGATATCATATCATATCATATGTTCCCATATTATTATCTTCCAACCACCCTCAGGCCGTATCATATCCGTAATATTATGCTCATATTAATATCATATTATCTGATATCATATTAATGGACAGCACTACTATCACGCGCTGGGAACCTGGGCACCTTAAGGGTTTTGACCCGTTAACAACTCCCTCGAGAGACTTTTTGAACATCTGAAAGTTTTAGATGGTAGGCGCGCATCCTGGGAACAAGTTGAGCCTATTTGGGGCGTATTTGGGGACATTTTGAAGGTGTGGTGAATTTAGTTCGAGCGAAACTCCCGAAAGGGCAATTATGGGGAACCTGGGCACCCATGCAAATTCATTGTTGCCAGCTCATTTAATGCCATTATGCTGCTTTATGATGTTCAGGGGATAAAACTACAGTATCACAGATGCCAAAAAGGTATGTTGGACCTAGAAAAATGGTAGAACTGAGTGCTTACGATGCCAAGCGCGTGCGACGGGATCCATACCGCTGATCAAACGACTGCCGCGCAACAGTGAGAGGAATAGTCGCCCAAAATAAGCTGCAAACAGCTTCATAATGAGTAGATGGACATACCTGGCCCAGGGATCCACTCCTGAGTCAAACTGTCGAGAACCCGGCATTTAGACATTGGTACTAGAGAAAATCAGCTGATTTGGTACATGGTCGATGCTAAGAGAGACATAAAACAGATAGAATAGTAGTCGAACTTCGAAACTGAAGCCTTATACATCATAATAGACTATGTGGAGCTCTAGATCGATAGGGTCAAAAGGTTGTTTGATATGGAGGTCGCGGCGGTGAGGTATTTGAGGGCACACCATGTTTATCCGGGAGGTTTTATAAGGGGGAAAGCGAATTTCCGGAAGCCCTTGATGTAGGTGATGAGCTCGAGATTTTTGCGGTTAGAACGAGCCCCAAAACTTGTGGATCGACCGAGGAATGGTGGAGAAACAGGTGAAATGGCCTCTCGGCATTAAGAAAATGATGTTCTCACCCTCCGGCCCGCGATCAAACGAGGCACAGCTTTCGATCAACGCAACATTCCGCCTCAAGATTTGGCATAGATGGGCGTCAGGGGTCGTAGTCCCTCCCCCAAGTCAAAGTTGTTAACATTTGGTACTATTCATGCATATATTTGGCAAGTGCCCAGGTTCCTAGTGTGCCCAGGTTCCTAGTCAGAGATAGTAGATGGGATGCCGTGTGTGATCGGCGCACGGACCTTTGACGCGGTCGCGTGCGCTGCGTTGGGGGCAGGTTGTTGAGGATTGGGGAAGGGGATTTGAAGCCCCGAGGCGAGGTGGCTCGCACCTGCATCCCGTGTATGGCGCCGAATTGCGGCAGGCCGTCTGTTCGACTCAGACTCGGGGCATACGCTCGTGACGACGCCTTTTTGTAGGCCTTAATCGGCGGCGGGCAAGTGGCGTACACTTAAATGCAGTGCGGCGGGTGTTTTTATCTCTTCTTTTGCTCTCGACGGAGGCAATGTGGTGCCTTCAAGTTGCGTTTCGCGGTTATTGACTGCGCGGCACGGTTTCTGAGGACGTATCCCACTGGAGTAATGCCGCACGCAGGCGAGATTATTGTCGTGCACACATAAAGCACTCATTTACACACTGAACGATGCGCAATAACGCCCTATCAAGCCCCGAACGCGAATCGGCTCGCCCCTGTGTCCACTACGATTCTCTACTCGTCTGTTCGACTCAGACTCGGGGTATTGCGCCGGTATTTCGACCCAACCTTTTTTTCTACGGTGCGCTTTATAGATGTACTAGTTGCACACAAGTTAACCTCTAGTCTTTAAAGCTTCCCGCGACTCAGGAACTTGATCATGAACGAGGACGATCTCGTAATTTCCTGCTTTGATCTTGTTCGCCTCCTCTCTCCGTGTAATATCAATTCTGCTCCCGCCGCTCAGGGTTTGACGCATATGGGGAGCTTGGTTCAAAAGACCCAGAAACTTGGTGGTGAAGGCATCACATCCGCTGCGAGTGTACAATCTTGTCTACTCAATTATGCGGAAGTCGCCCGTTCAACCCGGGCCCAAGTTATCAATCGCTACATAATATGCTTTTTCTGTTTCATTATTATATCCGCGCGCTCCTCTGAACTGAACACGTGAGTACTGCAGTCGCCTTCCAACCCTAGCCCATCCCACCCAGTTCAACTTGGAGCACTCAGCAACTCGATCGGGGGTGGAGGGATCCCCTCCGCCCTGGTGTGCATTCAGCTGAATATTCCATGGAAGTCGCCCGTTCGACTCGGGACCGTGTTTGTTTTTTGTTCTGATTCTCTACGAATATTCCGCGGCTTTGAATGGAGAACGATGAGTGATAAACCTTTCTCTGGTTGAATTATTTTTTACGCCCGCGGCGATCGGGATATCGGACAGTGGTCGATGGCCTTCAAACCACGCGGGATTGCAGGGTACTCAACAGCTCGATTAATACGACCAACACCCCGGACGCGAAGAGGCTCGCAATATATATCCACTGAGCTCTATTCAGCGGGGGTTCTCTGTTCGACTCAACTCCTCTCACTCAGTTCAGCTCGAAGGTTTCAACAACTCGGTGGTGAAGGCATCACATCCGCCCCATATATGTGGTGTACATTCAGCTGGATAGTCCGCGGAAGGAGTCCGTTCGACCCGGCCCTGAGTTATGTGAGGGTTGGCGGTCTCCCTTTGCTTTGATATCCCGCGCGCGGCTTTGAAGTTAGAAATGAGCATCGCGAGCCCTAAACACTTTTCTCTCCTTGAATTTAGTTTACGCCCGCGGCGATGACCCTTCAAACCTCTCGCAATCTCAAGATACTTACACGGCTCAAGCACTCCGAGCAACGCCCCGGACGCGAATCGGCTCGCACCTACCGTGTACCATGCACTTCAAATTCTAGTCAGCGGGGAGCGCCTGTTCGATCCCGACTCGGGGCATGAATCCGCGGCCATCCAGATTGTTTTCCGCCGGGCGTTTTAAATTTGCCCGCAATTCCCCCCTTTGGCCTCCCTTTAACATGAATTACAGCCCCTCACCAATTCGAACTCGTCTCGTCTCACCTAGTGTAGCTCCCTAGTGTAGCTCAGAGTACTCAGCAACTCGGTGGTGGAAGCGTCACATCGGCGGCTATTAGTGTTCGCAGTGACTTCTATTATGCGAAAGTCGCCCGTTCGACCTGGGCCTGAGCTATACGTTTGATGTGTACACTTCTTATTACTTTGATATCCCGCGTGCGGCTTTGAATTGAGCACGGTGAATGCTGAGTGCTAAACCTATTTCTCCGTATACGCCCGCGGCGGTCGGGATGTCTCCCAAGGTACCTTGCACACCTCAAGCCCTGCGACCAACGCCCCGAATGCGAATCAAACTCGGAAGTCCACTCTGCGGGGATTGTCAGATTCGGGGAATAGACCAAACGTGACTTCCTGCTTTAAATCTGGATCTTCTCCGCATTCTGTCCCCCTGGAATATCCCGCCGCTCCGGGTCGGCCGCATATCCCCGAGCTCGGTTCAAGGAAGGTCAAGTCGGAGTACTCATGTAGGTCCCTCTCTTCTTGCATCCGGTCCACTCGATCCAGCCGACACCTATGCTGCAGTCGAGTAGTAAACAGTTCTACATGGAGCATAGTTAAATTACGGGGCACAAGAATAGCAATAACCGGAATATCAGGGTACAATATGTACTTTTACTTCGTCCACTCCACTGCATGAACTTCATCGTGGAAACTTGCGCCTCAATGCGCATCCTACGCATCTACATCCACCACCTCCACCTCAAGCCGCCGGCGCTTCGCTGGCGGGCCTTCCCGAACCGCGGGAGGAAGAGGCCCCGGGCAGGTCGTGAAGTGTTTCTCGTACGAATTGTCCCTCATCTTCATCCCTTTCCTCGTTGGAAAGCTTCCCTTACAAGCACTGCACGAAAACCAGTACGCGTGGAGGTGGCAGCTCGCGATGTGTGCGCCCATCTTTTCCACCGCAATGGCTTTACACGCCTTTCCGACCGGCGGGATGACCTCGCCGTTGGGGGCCAGCGTGCCGCACACGCACTGGATCTTGGCCAAAGGCGAGTTCGCCCGCTTAGCCTTCTCGATCTTCTTCATGGGGGGGAACCCATGGCATACTACGAGGTGCGACTGGAGATCGGCAGCATCGACTTTGTAGCTGTCGCATTTCTTTACGACGCCGTGCTCCATCGTGAGAACAGGGCAGTCGTAGGATGTATATTGGTGACTAGGAAGGGCGGCCTCCACGAGGGCGGCCACGTAGAGCTTTCGCGCCGCCGTTTGGGGATGTCCGTTGTCCAAGACCACCGGAGCCCGACTAAAGATTGGCAATAAGCACAGTGCAGGTCGGCGAGAGCACAGAACGCACACAAGATCCGGGACAGGAGCAGCTCGCTTCTTGGACATCTTTTCCTTCTTTGAGGTAGGGGGCGGTGGCACGATGCTTGCGAACGCGAGAGTGGCACTGAGCGCGTCTGGAGTGTCGGGGGGATCGCTCTTGCTCGTGGTATGAGCCGTTGAGGGGCGCGTGTTGGAGTGCGGTGGAAGAGGGTGCGATGGGGATGGAACTACTGATGCAACACCGTTGGAGGATTGGCCAGGCACGCGTGCTGGGGCCCACGGGCTGCAGGTACAGGAATTGGAGTCAAAGACTGATGCATAAACACGGGATCGACGTACGCGGCTGGGGCTGCGACATTCCGGGTCTCAGGTCGCTGCGCCGTGGAAGGAAACAATTGCTGAGTCGACCCGGGGAATCGCCGGACTTGGACATCATTTAGGGTGCTGCTCCGAGTTGGTTGCCTGAAATGTCTCAGTGCGATCGACGTTAACAAGACCACAAGACTGACTGTGAATGGTTCGCTGTCGACCCAAGAAGGGGGAGCCTAAGGGAGAACAGTTAGCGGTGGGCCTAGCTTAGACAACAAAGAGGTACCGTGTCGGGACACCGGGATGGTGCCCGTGCGCGGGCGGTCCTGCGATCTCTGTAGGGTGTGCACTGTCAGATCATAGTTAGATGGTGGGCAGGTATGAACGAGAAGCGGAAACGGACCCATAATATGTCGCCCCATGTGCTTGGAACGAGACAGGGTGGCACATGAAGGTAGTTGACTGCACGTGCGGTGCGCCGTCAAATGGCGTCGCGGGGAGCACCTTCGCAGGCTTCGAAGGGACCGGATACGGCCTGCCGTCCCCCATCGCATAGCGTCCAGAAACCCGCGGTTCAGCTAGTAACGCCTGTTGCGAGGGGACGTCGCGGTGAAGACCTGCAACCGACATCCGTCCTGGCAGTCCCTTCCCAGCGTACTGTATATTGGCTGATCCGCCCGTCGCCACGAACTGAGAGTGAGGATTGCGGGGAGCGGACGCGCCAACTTCGGTAAGAGGCCAAGCTGGGAACGGTGGCAAGGTCGGAGCGAAGGTTTGCTGGTCTGACCCCTGTGCCACCGTCCGCAGATGGGAATTGGACGTGTGCTGGGGCCACCATTGGGGCCCCAGCGGAGGAGGAACCGACATGGTCAAAGCGCATTCACCAGGTTTGGCCAGTGCGCTTTGGGAGTGTGATTCGCGGGGACCTTTCGTGTCCTTGGACACTACTGCAACCTTCTCCGTAACCACGAACATCCCGTCCGGTCGCAGATAACCAGTGAAATTGTCCAAAAGGCCGAGGGCACATTGGATTCCTTCCACCATCGCGGAGGGTGAGGAGGGTGCAAGTACTGGGATTCCGGGGGAGTGAAAAGCGAGGCCTCATCGTCCACCGTAGAGTTGGCCTGCATCGTCGCTTCAGCCAAGGTTCTAGTGAGCTCCTGGTTGGTGGTAGGTGTAAAGGATGGAAATAGAACGCGACCGAGGCCACAGTTGATGGGAAACACGTTAACGCAATGCTCCGGAGTAAGGAAACAAAGGAAACATTGCGACCAGTTAATTCTCCCGTTCTCTTGCCTCGTATTTGAGAACCGAAAAATGTCGATAGTGTGCCAGCATGCGAGGGTCGCTGGGTTGATCATCTTTGGCTTAGGGCTCGGACGACCTGGGGCATCCACTTCTTGATCAAGACATCGGGAAGATTTTGGGGCTCGCAGAAGATCATTGCGAGGAATTGCCAATGTGCGCCCAGCCAAACTCTGTTCTCTGGCTTGGAACTGATATTTGCGGGTCACCGAACAGAAATACAGTGTTCCGCGGACAATGCCTGGCCATCCAGTTCAGTTCATCGCAGTTGCGGGGATCACAAGAGGCCAACTTGGTGCTTCGAATTTTCCGAACTTGAAATGTCGAAATTGAAATTGTGACGCAAGTATCCGAAATGGCAAGAAGATTTTGCTGAGAATCGATCTGGCAATTACATTTATCGAAGTAAAGAAGGAGGTTGAGGGTCGCCGCGACTCGATGCAAGGCTAGCCCTGGAGGTAAGATTGAGGATGGACGCGGCGTAAGAGAATTGATTCCACGTGTGGATTGTTGGCATCAAACTCGCTTCTTCGTCTCCGCATGGGAAGCTATTTATAGGAAGTTCGTTTTACCTCGGTCCGTGAGCTTGCTATTATCTGTGACTGGGTACTGGGCCACCTTAGCAATTCTGAGCTCGAGCCCACGCATGAATTGGTGTGGATTCAGGTTTATGGGCTCTGAAACTAAGTTATGCATCCTGTGGGTGAGACGAGATATTTTCCGCGAATTTATGCGAGGGTTTCATGGCCGACCGAATTTTTCTTCGGGGGGGTGTCCCAAAATAGCAAAAACGGGGTAGAGGGCCACCCAGCCAAATCATTTGTTCGTGCTAATAATATTCACCCCGGTGTATCCCAAATCATTCAATGGATACAGTTACATTATTTTATACACTTAAACTTGAGATCTGAGATGTATGGGGTCATCACTATTTCCCTTTCCAGCCATCAGGGATGGGTGAAATTGCACTCCGGACAGAATGGGTTCCCCAATAGAGCACAAACTGGAATAAAGCCCAAAATTAAGAAACAGATGGCTCCAGGGGAAGTATCAAGACATACATAAATGGAAATGATGACCACCACATACCCATGGTAT